TTCCAGATAAGATTTATAATAATTTTTATTGTGAATTATTTTAGTGTTTAATTTTTATAAAATACACATAATATAACAGAATTTTATTAGGTGATTAATATGTAAGACAAAATAATATTGCATTTAATATACTTAGTATTTGATTGTTTTTCACTATGCTTTTATGTTTTTTAATTATTAATAAAATAAATATTAATAAATATGACAAAAATAAGAAAAATAATTAAATATTAAGTAAGTTTTTAAAATTTATAAATATATAGTAATAATTAAAAGTATTAAAATAATAATATTTTATACTTAAAAAAATATAATATTACAAAATTTAAATATAAAATTCATTATATTTTAAACTTTTATAATTTATTTTATCATTTTTTTAAAGGTATTTTTTTTTATTTTATAATAAACTTTTATCAAAATAGTGATATATTTTATGATCAATTTAAAAATAAAATTTTAATATATATAATATGATTTTTTTGCTTAAATAATAAAAATATTAAAAAAATTTAAAAAAAAAATAATAATACCAATTTCTACTATTCTTATAATATAGTAAAATTGATACAAATTAAATATTAATGCTAAAGTAAAAAAAAGATTATTTATATAAATATACAAGTTAAAATATTTTAAAGATATTTAAATTTTTTATTAATATTTAATTTAATAAAAATATTTTAAAATTTTAAAATATTTTTTTTAATATAAATTATTTAAAAATTTTAAAGATATTTTTTATTAATATTTATTTAATAAAGACTTTTTAAATTTTAAATATACCATATAATTTTGAAAATAAATACCATATGATACATATGAATTTATTAGTATATATAGCATGTGACTAATAATATAATAAATTTCACATGATAAATAAATAAATTATTATAAAAAGAGTATATTACGAAATGCTTATTTTCAGAACTATATGATATTTATTAATTAAAATTAAATGTATTTTTATATTAAAAAAAATTTTTATAAAATTTTTAAAAATATTATTATTAGAATTTTTTTTAAAAGATACTATAGTTTAAAGATATCTTTTATTAATTTATTTTAATAAAAAGTTTAAAAATATGTTTTATTAATTTTTTTAAATAAAATTATTTTAAGATATAAAAATACTAAAATTAAAAAATTTTTTTTAATAAGTATATTTTATTAATTTTTTCTTAATAAAAAACATTTTAAATTTTAATATTTTTATTAGACTATTTCTAAATTTAACTATAGTTATAACAACCATTTTGGTTATTTAACCAGTTCATGTAGTGTTTTAATCACATATATATGGTTATTACTAAAGATGGCGTTGCAACATTGTGACACTTATTTGTCACCTGTTGCAACTTAAATTTTAATAATGTTGCAATTCGTTGCAATATTGTGATGCTTATTTGTCACCTGTTGCAACTAATTGAGGCGCCATCTTTAGTTATTACACCACTAGATCAAATTTCATGTGACTTGTAAAATTTGTGTGTAAAACATTGCTGTAAAAAAACATAATTAATTTTTTGATGCAAGACATAATAAAATTTTATTTTTCTTTAAGTATATTTTTTATAATAAAATCTGTGCTATCTATATAATAAATCTTTATATTATTTATTACAATTCTTTTAATAATAGCCAATTTCATTACATTTTTTACATTTTCATTGTCCATATTCACAAATTGCTCTAGCAATACTTGTTTCTACATAATTAGATAAATCTTATTTAACAATTTAGTTAATATTTGTAAGTTCTTTTAATGGTCTTTTATTTTATTAATTTTTCAAAATAAATGATTCAGATGAAAAAAATATATAAAAGAAAGATCAAATTCTAAAATAAATGATCTAAATAAAGAAAATATATAAAAAGAAGATCAAATTCTAAACAAATGATCTAGATAAAGAAAAAATATAAAAGGGAGATTAAATCCAAAAATATATGAACTAGGCGAAGAAAATGTGTTGAAAGGGTGATCAAATCTCAAAATATATAAACATATAAAGAAATATATAAAAGACTAAGTCTCTTCTCTCTCAACTTAACAATCTCAAGTTTCTCCTTTTAGAAGATTTAACATAACTAAAAAGAATGATTTAACAACCTTCATATTCTAACCTTAACTCTAATTATAACATAAATGAAAAGAATGGTTTAATAACCTCCATATCCTAATTTTAACCCTAATATAAATAAAAAAAATGGTTTAACAATTTCCATACCCTAATTTTAACCCTAATATAAATGAAAAAAATGGTTTAACAATCTCTATACCCTAATACTAATATTAATTCTAATCCTAACCTTAACTCTAAGCTACTCTAAAGCTAAATTCACTATAATCTAATATTGTAACTTAAAGCAAAAATAAAACACATTTATATTAATGTCTAAAGAATTGTTAACAAAAATCTGCTTAAATTTGTTTATAATAAAATTTATGATTAAAAAGATATGGGAAATAAAGGCAATAATTGAATTTTTCAAAAAAATGTTAAGACGAATGAAGTAAATGAGAGAGAAAATTTGAGAAAGGATTAATAAGATAGATATTCAGAATTATGTTATTTTAGTAGTCTATTTTCGTCATATGATTAAACACATAATTTTCAAAAAATTCAAAATTCAAAATTTTAAAATTTAAAAATTTAAAATTCAAATTTATATATGAGTAATAATAACTGGTAGTTAATCATAGATTTTCCCTTTTTATTAATTTAAAATTTTAAATTAATTTAAAATTTTAGATTAAATTAATTAATTTAATTTTTAATATTAATTAAATTATAATCTAAATTTTTCAGATTAATTTTTTTACAATTTAAATTAAATAATTAATTTTAATTTTTAGATTAATTGATTTGTTTGAAACTTTAAAAAATATTTTTAAAATTACAATAACCTTTATTTAATTAAATTTATTTTTAGACTTTAAAGATAAAAATAAAATAAAATAAAATATTTAATAAATCAAATATTTAATTTATTTAAAAAATTTAAAGTAAATTATTAATATAATTTTTAAATTAGTTTAATTCAAATTAATTTTTTTATATTTATAATATAAATTAAATTAAATTAAATTAAATTAAAATTAATTTAAATTAATTTATAATTTGATTTAAATTAATTTAATTTAATTAATTTTTTAAATAAAATAATTAATAAATAAATTATATTTTTTACTTTATTAATTTAAAAAAAATTCTAATATAAAATTATAAATTAATTAAGAAAAATATTTAAATATTAAACAATTTTAAATTATAAAAGTTTTAATAAATTTGTTTAGTTTTAAAAAAGATTTTTATTTTATTGGTATTTTTTAATAATAATATATTAATAAAATATTTATTAAAATAAATAATAAATTTTATTCAAGAATTCAGAATCTTTATTTTTTAATATTTAAAATTAAATTCTAAGATTATTTCTATTTAATGATATTATAAAAATAATTGTTCTCAAACTTCATTTTTTTTAAAAAAATTATTTATTATATTTATTATAACATAAGTTACTTATAGATAAATAATTAGACTTTTCTACTAGAAAATTTAAATTTGTTTAAAATTATTTGAAATTTCTAAAAAAAAAAAAAAAAATAATTAAAGCTAATTGATTAAAGTAAATAATATAAAATAATTAAATATATTAATAAAATTTTTATTAAATTGCTTATTTTAATCTATTTTAAATTTAGCAAAATATACAAATCTTTTAATTTTATAAATAATAATAATGTTTTAATAATATTTTAATATTTTTACTATTTTTATACATTTTAACATAGTTTTATTTTTTACAAATGATATTAAGATTTTATTATAATTTATTAAGTTTTATTAGATAACTTATTAAACTTCTAGATTTTATTCAACGATTTTATATTTTATATATTTAACTTAGAAATTTAATAATAAATATATTAAAATAAAGATCATTATAAGCTCAATAAATTTGATAGGTTTTAAATAATAATTTAATAAATTTTTACTTGATTTTTTGATTATTAATATATAAAGTTGCTTGAGATCGGAAATCCCGATAAAGCAAAAGATGCACTCTTGTATTTGCGCATCCTTATTCTGTCCCGAGAAATAAGAGTGTCTATTGATGATGTGTAGTCGTGTGGGTAGATAATGCTTCAATTGTTGTAACCACTCAAAAAAGCAATGATAATATGAGAGCTTTGCTATTAAAATCAAGTTACGAACATAGTAAATCATATGATCTGTAGCGTGATTTAATAGCTTACTTCCAATATATGCACTTGCTGATTTATTTACATAATTTATTTGTACTCATTTTATTTCAGATATATAACTATTAATAAGCAAAAAGTCTGAAAAACTTATTCAACAATTGGTAATTATATTCTGCATTATTTTGCGAAAGCTAAAATTGAAACAAAAGTCAAAATAGGTTTATTTTAACCTATGTGTAATTGAGTCTATGTGGTGTGGATTGTGTGAGGTAAAAAATAAATTTGTAGTATGCATTTTTCATTTAACATTTGATAGGTGTGGAGTTCTGTCTAAAATATCTTACTGACAAGATTACGAATTATTAGCAACAATTTCTTATGCCAACTCTAGTGTTCCTAATGAGTCGAGTCGAGTCGAGTCGAGTTTCGAGTCAAATTTATCCTACATACATTTAATTTAAAGTACTTATTTATTATGTGTAACTAAAATTTACAATTATGCACAATCATGCGAGTCAAATATGCGAGTTTATGCGAGTCATTTTCAGAACTCTAGCCAACTCCATCTGTTCGATTGATTTCTATCTTGAATTCCTCCAATTATTTGAATTAACAGTACGGTATGAAACCTGAAACCTTCATTAAACTAATGTTGACGTTAATTATTCATCTTAAAAAAAAAAATTTTTTTTGTTTCATAAACTTTTATTGATTAAGTGAGGGTCATTGTTGGAATCGAACCAACCAAGCCTAAGCCAAACCATTATGACTGTACTGGAGTGGATGTCTAATGGTCGTCAACATAAGTTTCACCTGACCTCGCGTACATCACAAAATGATTATGCAGTGTTACAACCGAGATTGTTTCTAAAATCCTTAGATTATGAAGATTTAGAATAATAGCTAACAATGGCATCCTCATTCTAACCCACCTCGTAATGCCCTCACCCTAATCGCAAAGAGGTAAATAATTACTTTTGCAAAGCTCAAGTTTACTTCTGAGAGCTTTTAGAAGTTACACAACTATTGAGCATGATAATCACAATAGAAGTAAAGAACTAAACATTCTCATCTATATGAAAATAAATAAACGTAACCATATAGGAATATGGAATAGTAAATCTTATTACGAATAACGTAAAATCTATCCATATATACTTCATTTATTAGGAATAAAGGAAGGTAGCAAATAATAAAAGTAAGTTTCGACCAAACGATGTAACTCATCAAAGGATAACGTACGAATGGAAGCGAGGGACATACTAATATACCGCATATGAAGAAAAATCTGGCAGTACAGATAGTAAAAAAGTAGAGTAAAAGAAGGTCATTCAAGTGGTACCTATAGACACTATAAAGCCGTTTAGGGGGGAACGACAAAACCCTGCCTCTTGAGATATTTATGAAAACATCTCTATAATAAAGGAGGATAAACCTCCAGCGACTATAGAAAAATGAATAAAATTATTAGTAAATCCTTGACAATACCATAGTTAAGACAAACAATATTTTAAAAGGAAGGCGAATGACAAAAATTTTAAAACTTATCTTTAAGCTCTAAAGCAAAAATAGTATAAAGAAAGAAAAAAAATAGTATAAAATAAACAATACGTATTTATTAGTGCGTAGCGATCAACATAAATAAAGCCTGATTGAATAATCACTTATATTTTAAATTACGTGATAATTGATCAAAATTTTCAATAATTTTTAGAAATATAAGAAATACATTATTAAATTTAATATTATATCTATAATTTTACTTTATTAAATTTAAGAAATCTACTAATAAATTTAACTTAAATTATTTATTAAAATTAGGTAATAGAAACTATTAAAAATACCTAAAGTATTGATTAACTGTAATATAACAGTCTTGCAAACAATTTGATCAAATTCTTTTTATTATAATAAATATAATGAAATATTTGGTATAATATTTCTTTAAATATACAATATATAATTAAAATTTATCTAATTTTAATCAAAATTTTTGTAATTCTGGTCAAATTTTTAAATTCAGCCTAAATTTAATAAAATTAAAAAATGCAGATCAAGGTATTACCATATTTATATAATGTAATACTTTAACTTAAATAATAAAAATAAATTTTATTAACTCTATTTATAAAATTTTTAAGTATTTTTTAGTATAATTTCATTACTTTAAAAAGATCTTAAGTGAAAGTTAATAGATTTAATCTATTTATAATATTTTAGATTAATTTATTATTTGTAAAATATAAAATATCAGATCATTCTAATTTTAGAGAATATTTAGCTATAATTTTTTAAATAAAAGTTGTATTTATAAATTAATATTTACATACATAAATAAATTATTTATTTATTATTTATATTTTAAATTTTATATAATTTATTTATTATAAATATTATTAGGCTAAAATATGAATTATATTTAATAAGATTAAATTTAAATTTATATGTAAATTTTTACCAATATAGGTCAAATTTTTATTAATATGGGTCAAATTTTTTGATTTTAGCTGAATATAAGTCTAATTTTAATAAAACTAAATAGTTATTTTTTAACTAATATCTAAGGTTACTTATCTAAACTCATTTTAAATTTGGTAAAATGTCTAAACTATAGTTTTGCTAATTTTTTACTAAGGTTTTAATATAGTTTTGCATTTTTATAAACTTTGATATAGTTTTATCTTTCAGAATTTCGTAGATTTTTTAATAAGAATTTAATATAATTTTATTAAATTTTAAATTTTTTCATTTAGATAACCTACAAAACTTTAAATTTTATTCAGAAACCTTACTAGTACTTGTATTAAGAATTAAAAAACAACCAACTTTAAAGTTATACCTAAAATAAATTACCTATGAATACTTATAGAATATAATAATAAGAATATTATCAGATTTTTTAAAATCAGATAATTCAACTGCTATTTTAGCTTCAAAAATTTTAATTTTAAAGAAAATTTTATTATTCACTAAATACAATTTAAAAAGATAAAGTCTTATATTAAAAAAGATTATTGTTTTTAAAGAGATATAAAATTATTTAAAAAAAATTTATTTAAAAATAAAAAATAAAATCATAAAAGATCAGCAAAAATTAATGTGATTAAATAAAAGTAAATTCTTAGTTTTAACTTAAATGATATTAGAAAAATCTAAATTTAAATTTACAATTCTAGTATAATAAATTAATTGTAAAGTTTGAACAGTTCTGTAATATATAGTTTATTCAATATAAAAAAAATATTATAAATTTATAAATGAATAAATAGAAAATTATATAAAGAAATTTTAGAAGATAAGTTTTTAAGAATTCTTAATTTCAGTTCCACTATAATGTTATCTAGTTCTGAGTAAACTGTTACCTGGTTGCCGTTAAACTGTTACCTACTTACTTATTTTCGTGTTCTATAGCCTTTTTATTGCTTTATTGCTCCTTTGCATTTATAACATTACTTTAGCTGTTTCGATATCTGATTTTATGTTAAGAATGCTAGCCTCCTATGCCTGATTGGATGTTAGATTCTATGTTAGAGTGCTTCCCTTTGCGCCTATTTGATTGCCTTTCTAGGGGCTGAAGTAATGTAAAAAAAAGATGACAGATAGCACAGTTAATTTGCTACCTCTATTTTCAATAACAGCTTGTCATGCAAAATTTCAGCGACGGAAATGACAAAAACCTGTCATCCAAAATGCTTTTCAAAATTTTACGAGATGTTGTTAGACTATTGTTACAAAACGAGTAAGTATAATGTTTATCTTATTCATCTTATAAAGTATATTCATATTCCATAAGTGTTTCTATCATATTTCATCTTAATCAAATATAAAGTAAATATCGGGCATGGTAATATCCTTACAAGTACTACATGTAAAAAAGTTCAATTCGCGTGTACCTATTTATTAGTACTTTGTTAAGTTTTGCGAAATGCCAGTGTTATGCCATTCTTACAATCTTGCCTTTTGTGATTGCTAAAGATAAAGCACGAAATGCTAAATTAGTTCAGGCTATATTGCTTTCATACCTTTTTTTCGTGTATCTTTTTGAGCCTTTTTGCCTTCCTGATTTCTTTCCTACCTATCGGCGATAGTATCTATAAGCATAATTTCTTATTTTATTTCTATATAATTCTACCCGTAAATACTACCAAATCTATACCCTAGTTTTCGCCTAAGCCTTCCTAGAATTCTTTCTTGTATAGTTATTACTTTAGGGTACCCCTATACTTGATTACTTTAGATTATTACTATATCAATCTTTCATACCTTTTTTACGTGTATTCTCCTGAACCTTTCTGCCTTCCTGATTCCTTTTCTGCCTATCGGCGGTAGTATCTATAAGCATAATTTCTTATTTTATTTCTATATAATTCTACCTGTGGATACTACCAAATCTATACCCTAGTTTTCACCCCTGTGTTTCTCGAACTCTTTTCTGTATAGTTACTACTTTGGGATACTTTAGGTATTACTGCATTGATTACTTTAGGTATTACTTTTAGATACTATCACATTGATTACTTTCTTTCGATTTGGCACTGAGTGCTACTACTGTCCCAGTATTTTGTTAGCAAACATATTTGCTCAAAATTATATAAAATTTTTATTTTGAAGATTTACAGATTTTTATGTAATTTTATACTGCTTTCTTGTATATACACCATACTTCTTGCGCAAAAAAATGCTGGGCCTCACCCAAAAACAATAAATGAAGCAACCAAGCTCTTTTCTGGTTTAGCAGACCTTGACTATGAGTCTGGCTATGATGATCATGTATATTTCCAATATTTATCTAATAATAAAAATGATATCTCTTTTCTAGGCGCCTATCATCCTGAAGAGATTTATTTAAAATATATTATTTGAGTATCTGAAAAAGGTTTTACAATAGTCAATCATCCATCTGAAGTTTATAGAATCCTGATGTTCATGAATGCATTAATGGGAATCTGCCTCTTCGCCTGATTCTAGATATTGATGCGAGGCAAAAGCCAGATCTAATGAACCCTGAGCTCCCTTTTTTAGATAAATATAAAATTACTCGCGAAGATTTATTATCCAGAATCTTAATTACCTATGTTGATATTTTATATTCTGATTTAAACCATCTTGCAATATTAGATGCTTTTGCCTTAGCTAGTTCATCTAATACTAATAAATGCAGTTGGCATATTTTGTATAAATATGCATGGTTCGTTGACTATAGAGACCTTAGAGGGTTTGTGAAAAAAGTTGCTGATAGAGTTGGGAAACCATACTCCGAATTTATTGATCTTGGACTTTATAAATCATGTTTTAGTCTTCGGCTTTTTAGATCAGTAAAGGAAGATAGAATTAAAAGACCTGCAGTTTTTTCAGTTAAACAAGGATATCGCAAGCTAGAAGATTATTTAGTTTAATCTAAATCTGATTATTCTGAAATCTGACCACGAACCTTTTCTCCTGAAAAGTCAGAAAAGGATGAATTCTAACCTATCGAAGATAAAATTGCTTTAAGCAAGGGACTAGTCAAGTTACCGCAAAATATGAATGATTTGAGATTTGCGACATTAGAAAAGGATTAGTTAATTTTCAAGCAAAGTCATATAAAGCATGTCCTATTTGCGAAATCAAACATGAAAGAGATCAATTATATGGCTTTTTTCGAAGTAATGGCCATTTTGTACTTAAATGCTATCGGCAAAATCAATATAAGTCAGATCATAAAAGACTAGCATTTGGAGAGGCATCAGGTATAATCAAGTCGAAAGAAAGAGCTAAATGGGGATTGAATGACAGATTAATTAATGTTGTAAAAAATCCACGTTTGCTCTCTGAATTGTCTGGAAAAAATATTAATGTAAAAGAGATAGAAGAGGCTTCAGACTTCTTAAGTTCTATATATAGTACAACTCTTATCCGTTCACCTGTAGGTACTGGTAAAACAAAAGCTTTAAGAGGAATTCTCAACTCTTTAGCTGGAAATAGAGAAAATTTGTCTTGCTTTATCTGGGTTTCATATCACAAAACTCTTACCAATGAGACTAAAGCTAAAATT